GCCTTTCGCTGTCTTAGGTGTTGTTGAAATAAACAGACAACTCTACGCAAAGAGTATTGTCCATTTTCAAACGGCACTAAGAATATCGCCCAATGATTACCAGTGCTGGGTGGGCTTGGGTGAAAGCTATTATAACTCAGGGCGATACATTGCGGCCACCAGAGCATTCCGGAATGCGCAATCATTGGAATGCACTTTGCCGGAGTCTGAACGAGGGCAAATATGGTACTCTAAGTATATGATGGCGAATTTAGAAAGAGAGCTCGGGAATTATGCGCAGGCAATAATGATGTATGAAGATGTCACACATCTGAGAATTGAGGAGTTTGGGGTATCTGTTGCATTGCTACAAACTCTAACTGAGAGTGCATGGAAGGCAGCTGAGTCCGGTTTTTTTGGGGCAGCCACTGAGACAGCGAAGCGAGCAATCGAGACCGGCTTATCTATTACAAATTATCATCCTAACGGATTCAACTTATGGAAGTCAATTGGCGATGCCTTCTCTATATTTTCCTGGATAAGCAACAAGTCATCACATTTACCACTCGCACCTTTTAGGGCAGTACTCAAAACGACCTGCGACGTTACCGCTTTCAATATTCTTTCCAACCTTGACGGAGTTGGGGAGAACTTTGACATATTGTTTGAAAGTTTGCTGGGTAGTAACGAAACGGCCCAGGTGATCTCCATATATGCAACTATTCTAGCCTTCAAGTATGCGCTATCTGCTACCGCAAAAGATACCCACGCCCAGGCATTAGCCTGGTATAACCTAGGCTGGGCAGAGTATAGAGCTCACACGCAACGATCATCGTTTTTGAAAGGCCCAAGAAGTAATAAGCGGACAGGGTTCATCAAAGCTGCAACTCGGTGTTTTAAAAAGGCAATCGAACTTGAAGCTGGCAATGCTGATTTTTGGAATGCACTGGGTATTGCTACTGCGTTACAAAGCCCAAAGGTAGCCCAGCATGCGTTTGTTCGCAGTCTTCATCTCAACGAGCGGAATGCATTCGTATGGGCTAATCTTGGAGCATTTTATCTCCTAAATGATGATTATCAATTAGCAAATGAAGCGTTCACTCGCTCGCAATCAGCTGACCCAGATCACTCAAATGCCTGGCTAGGCCAGGGACTATTGGCCATACTTATTGGAGATGCTGTCGAGGCAAGGGAACTATTTACACACGCGTTTGGGCTTGGGAATTCGAATGGAGCTTTTGCAAAGCAGCAATATGCCATGTCTATGTTTGATGACATCAGTAGTAGTCCCGAAGCTACACCAGCTCAACTACTCCAACCCTTATTTGGCCTACGTCAGCTGCGCTCCGTGGACCCTTCTGAACTATTCAATTATCATCTCTCATCACTTTTTGCGGAACGGACCGGAGACCTTGAAGACTGTATTTCAGACTTAGAGACGGTGTGTTCAGGGGTGGAAGCAGCATATGAGTCAACAGAGTCCATCAGTTCGCTGCTAAAGTATGCTCAAGCGTCTGCTGACTTGGCGCGGATACAGCTGGGCCGCCTTGAATATAAAGAAGCTGCAGACAGTGCAGAAACAGCACTAAATTTGATGGTAGAAGAAGGGATACATGAATACCATGGTGGACTATATCAAGTGATTAGACTATCAGCCCATTTAACAGCTGGCCTGGCATTCTACTATCTTGGTCGAATGGATGAATCTATTGAGATGTTCCGTGATGCGATTCAAGGGGCTAATAATTCACCAGATGTTACATGCCTGCTTGCGCAGGTACTGTGGGCAAAGGGCGGAGACGAGGAGAGGCTAGTTGCTCGAGAACAACTCTTCGAGTGTGTTGAAAAATACCCAGAACACGTGGGAGCTATCACTCTGCTAGGAGTCATTGGCCTTCTAGATACGGATGAGGACACCATTGAGGCTGTAGAGTCGGATCTCCAAGCCATGAGGGCAAGGACTGATCTAGATACTCATAGCATCGGAAAAATTGTGAAGCTGCTAGCAAGCATCCCCGCTCTAAGATATGAGGCAGAAGCAGAGGCAATGCGCACCTCTGAAATGCTGAAGCAAGCCACGTTGTCGGTAATGACATCACCAAGCCAGCCACAAGGCTGGATGGCCCTTTCTTCAGTGTCTACTGAAAGGTACGCTGCCGAAATGGCTGTTCGAACAGCACTTGTCAACATTCCGCCTCGTGGAAAGCTCGACGCTGAGGCTCTTTGCCAGGCATATTCACTGGTGGGAACAAGGAAAAGTGCATTAAGCGGAGTTATGGTAGCGCCTTGGTCTAAAAATGGCTGGGACGAGTTGATCCAATGTTGTTCTTGAAGCTGGTCCGTCTGACCCGGTGGATTTTGCCTTTAAGAGTAATTAATATTCAGAATGTAACGGCCATTCCCAGGGCTAACTGGATTGTTCAACTGATAGTTTCAGGCGGGTTCAATGCTGATAGAAGTCTAGCTTTCCGGCCAGTTTTCCATTGGCGGTCTAACCCTTCAATTTTACCTCCAAGGACGGTGACACACTCTGGGTCCAAAAGGGCCGTTCCGCGAGCGATAATAGCATTAGTGATCAGTAGCTTCGTTCCAATTGCCGTTTCCCCTAACTTTATTGCACGTAGAGGCTTCAACTCTATGGCTACCACCTTAGTGCCTCTGCAGTCCTGAAGTATGAGGCGATGCGGCCCCCCTAGTTTTGAATGCTCCTGCCCAGAACTGGCAGAGGGAGCCAATTGCCTTGCGCTTTCGCCTGTAGTATTGACGGGACTGTTTCCTTCTTCAACCTGGACGGCCTGTGGCACCGTTCTAATAACTTCTCTACCCCTAATTGATTCACCTCTCTCAATCCTCTCAATGGCTTCCACCTGGCTCCATACGCTGCTTCCTATGTCTTCTATGTCAAGAATTTGGACAGGAACAGGGCCAGATATACGCCTTTCTTTGATGCTGGCGTTAGAGATATCTGTAGGCAGTACGTGCCTTGTGTTCGATACTGGTATCTCAAGTGATCTCGTAAAGTCAGAGGCAAGTAGTCGGAACAATGCCGTTTGAGTTAGAGCTGGAAGAGGCGTGATTCCAGGTCGCTGGGTAGCAAGCAGCTCTGAGAGCCATACTTCAGAAACTGGCAGGGACCTCGTACTCAATAGGTGTTTCTTTATGTAGGCATGTGGCTCTGGTGTCATCTTCTCCTGTATGAATGATGCGATGCAAAACAACGGGAGCTGGATGTACGCGCGAAGTCAAACAAAAGGGTTGCAAGTTAGGTAATTTGCTTACCTAAGTCAGTTAACCAACTACGTACATAATTACCAACTACGCACGGACCACAACTCTGAACTACTTACTAACAAACCACTTCTGCCTTGATGGCTACTACTGACCTACATTCCTACATAACATCCAGCGTCATCCTCCCGGAGCACAAACAAGCATTATTATACTTTGGATGATGCACTCTAAAAGAATAACTTTATAACGCTTCCTAGCTCTATAATGTCAACGGTATCCTCTCCTCGCCCGTCAATAGCGTCCGCTCGATCCCCGACACCAGCATCATCTCGCCGCCCTTCGGTCGAAAGCGCCAACTTCGCTCCCAGAACAGACCTTCCAAGTAATGCTCTACGACGTAACAGGGCTGCCTTACGAGACTATTATAACCTGCACCCAGGCAGAACTGAACCCTCAAATCAATCAAGGGCAAGGAGTGTTCCACCTACACCAGATGGCGCACGTCCCATAAACCAAATCTCGAACAGTGAGCTTGACAGCCCAAATTTCGATCCAGATGGCTATGTGTCCCATTTACTCGCTACCTCATCCTTGGCTACTATATTACGGGCTGAAAACTCCCTTGTCAGCGACATCAAGACTCTGGATGGAGAACGAAAGGCCTTAGTCTATGACAATTACTCGAAGCTTATAAAAGCTGTTGAAACTATCGGGAAAATGAGGTCAATACTGGAGGAGGAAGGGACTCCTGTTTTAATGACAAAAACACTAGCTCCTGCAGTTGGATTTATTGCAGAGACAGCAATGTCACTTATTCGAGAGCAACAAGAGCTAAGACCATCTACCAATAAACCAACACGGGGAAACGCGATACAGAATGAAGCAGCAGTCAAACCCGAAAAGGCAACCGTGTTATGGGCATTGGACTCCCCAAGACGGTTGAAACGATTATTGGACTCCGGGAAAAGAGATGACGCTGAGCAAGATTGGAGCGAGATACAGTCACTGCTTTCAAAATGGGGTGAAGTTAAGGGGGTTAAAGAGCTTCGAGCTGAGTGTGAACTACTCATGGTCAAGAAGGAACTGCCAGAAGCGTGAGGTATCACTTCTGCCCAGTTTATGCTGATGACTTCGTCTGTATGAAAGACTAGGGTGCTTTTGTTTCTGCTAAACGAAGAAATCGAAAAGTAGGATACACCAGTATCTCGCACTCTCGTATCCATCTCACCGTCTTTATATACTGCAACGAGAACTGATATTTAGCAGCTTAACCCCATATTTCAATGTCGGGATAGTAGTATTGAACATACTATCGGAGAGCTTGCGACCATATCTCCTCAGCGGAATTCAATACTGCGAATCTTTCTTTTATGATAATATATGTCATGGACAAAAAATTCATCATTTTGGGTGATGGCAAGGCAGGTCACTGCATCACTTCCCGATCACTCTATTACTGTGCGTAGGTTCAGCTATTTGATGTCTAGATAGCAGTTTTGATTACAGGATAGGTTTCCATTTCGGCAGCGTCATTCTTATTTCTGACTTCTGGAACGCGAGTTACCCGCGTCCCCCGGCTAACTAACTAATTAACTACCAAAATCAATTGTCAGCTAACTCACCATTGGTTCATTTAACTAGTCGCACGACAGTTAATCAACTAGATAACAAAACTAACAAGTTAGTTAAGTACCCTCATATATAACAAGTGACCTCCTTTTTCCGTACTAATTTTTGCCGACAAAGTAACGGAGAAATATTAACATATCACGTTCATAACTCTTCACGAAATGTCCACCACCACAAACCCCAGCAGCATCTCTACCATATTTCTCGACCAGCCTCCCAGTTGTCTCCAGTTTTGTCCCACGGCCCCTAATTTCCTGGTAATTGGAACATATCTCTTGACAGTCGATGAATCTGATGCCAATGCATCGTCTCCTGAGTCGTCCCGCTCAGGCAGCCTTCAGTTATTCAAACTAGATACCCAGACTTATCGCCTGTAAGTTTATCCCCTAGCAGTGTCGCCTTCCTTTCACTGAGCTCCTAGCAATTTCGTTATAAATGGAAATAAGTCACTCACAGCGTCCAGCTGCCAGATTCAACGGCTGTCGCTCTCCCATGCCGTATTTGACCTCCAGTTTTCCATACACGACCCTTCCCTCTTTGCTGTTGCATTGAGTGCAGGAAAAGTGTCTTTATATAAAATTGAGAAACACCCGCAAAGCGCAGGACTGGAAGTTTCTCTATGTCTTCTGAATACCCTCAGAGTCCACGATGACGACACGAAGCTCAGTTTATTCCTGGCTTGGATTCCACCCTTTCCTGTAGAAGTGGACGATAGTGTAGCACCTATTGTTGGTTTTGCCGTCTCATTTTCTGATGGACAGATCTCTGTTTTCCGGAAGCATGATGCATACCCTACGATTGAACAAGAGTCGATAAAAGAAACTTGCGTGGAAGGTATGCCAATTGAAGTATGGTATTTAGCATTTCAAAGGCGATACGATGGTCAACTTTCTCTTTTCAGTGGAGATGATTTCAATCAAGTTCGGAAAATTACCTTTACGAACGACCCAGATTTTGACATCGACTCTGTTCCGATGAATGACCGGGGACGTTATCATGAAGGTGGGGTCACTGCAATCTTGCCACTATGCAACGAAGATGGAGAGGCCATTATTCTCACAGGAAGCTATGATCAACACGTTCGAGTCTATCAGTTTGGAGCTCGCAGACAAATACTTACTGACCTAAATCTCGGTGGAGGGGTTTGGAGACTGAAACTTCTCCGAGTTGAGAACAATTCCGTGGAGAGATCGCAGGGAACATTGACTAGCTATCTTATCCTTGCTAGTTGTATGCACGGCGGTGCCCGTGTAATCAGTGTAGTTCATTATTCGAGGCACCCAAAGGCTGGGAGTACATGGGGTATCAACATCATTGCTCAGTTCACAGAACATGAAAGCATGAATTATGCTTCAGATGTCTGGCAGAATTACGACGAGCCATCTAAACTGCTATGCTTGTCAAGCAGCTTCTATGATAAAAGGATTTGCATATGGGAAGCCAAGATACAAAATGATGAGGAAGCAGCCCGAATGAACGAGAGAGATAAAACATGATACAATGGTGGCCGTGAGAAATGAAAGTTACTGACATTCACAGCTTAGTTCTCGAGAAGTGTAATATCAAAAATGGTATCTGTTTTTCTTCTTTCTTTCTTTTTTTACTTGTTAAACTATAGTTTCAAGGTCCCTGGCGTATCCGATCGTATTTTCGATTACAGACCCCGTTGTTAATGTGATTTCTTTGCCAGTCTTCTGAGGAGTATTCTGCTCCTCCTGGTCTTGTTGACTAGGGAAGTATACCCGCCCATCTTTCAAAGTCCACCCTCGTTCTTTAGCAAACTCCACAACGGCGCCTTCGGAGTCGAGGAACAATAGATTTTTGGCGTTAGACACGGGAAGCGATGGGTACGCCTTTTCAGAGCAGTCTGCAATTTCGCTTCGGATGGTACCAACAAGTATCTATCCACGGGAAGTTAGCGTCTGTTACCAAGACTGAAAGTAACGAAAGATGGAAGGGGTGGAAGTACTGATGAGAATAGCCCAAAGTCTTCTGATGGAACCCTTTCAGACTTAGTCTCACGCCAGACCTTATCATAGCTACCTTCCATCAAGCTCCTCTCCAGCTCAACAGGGTACTTAATGTACGGGTCAGTCTCCACGGGATGGCCCTTCAAGGATGCTTCCACGACCAGGCCTTCCAGGACAGTGTGAAACTCAGTGTTGTTTCCCATGCTCAAGAGCAACAGCAAGTAAAGCCCGGTTATCTTGCTTCGTTGGCTTGTTTTTAAGTTTATCTTAGCATCTTCCGCAAAGGCTGCCTGTAGGTGCCTTTCAGTGTCGTAAAAGGGCTGTAGCTGCTGATAATATCGAGTAAAGGAAGGGGCATCTTTCTGGCGTATTGATGTGATGGCACCAAGCTCGAGGATTTCACGAGCAAGGGAGATGAGTGGATGAGGGGTCGAACTGGTGGGAATGAGAGCATTTAGCTGGAGAAGTGCTCGCTTTGCACGGCTTAAGAGCGCGGCCGTTCTATCCACATGCTTCTGATCTAGAGTCTGGTGCAAGTCCCGAATCATAGCACGGAGCTCTTCGTAGGCCATGACGAAAGTGTTGGTAGATCAAACGAATAGCAAACCAGGGTAGCAAAACCCAGTGCTCAAGTGCTGCTGAGTAGTATGGTAAATGTCGGCACCTACAGGTTGGTTGGTCTTTGTTGGTGATGATACAACGTCGGGCTGGAGCTTACCTAAGGTAAGGTAACTGCTTATGTAATTTCTCGCGGCTAGACATTTATCCTTGCCGCCAATATGAATCACGTGAAGCAAAGGCTGAGTCATTTCATCGGTGGCTTGGACCAACTGCTTAAAATAACAACATTGGGTACGGAATACTTATACTTTCCGCACAGGTATGAATAAGAGTAACTCCGGTCTATCATTTCTTTGACAGCAATCATAAGAGCTTGTCACCACCTCTGCGGGCGCATTCCCTGTTTAAACTCCGTGCCGAGCGCCGCTTCGGACGTACCATGCATCCCTCACCCACGCTGCCATAGCGGCTGATTATTGACGCATTGCGAAAGTGGATGAATGCCCTCCAACTTCTCGGGCTGCTCGTTGGTTCAAGGAGACCCAGAACACGACTATGTTGGCGATTTCCGACAGGGATCCGTCCGCCCACTAGCCAACACTTTGGGCCACCTAACTCAGTTATACAACTCTGCTGCCCGCTGACAGTTTTTTGGGGCTCGCAAGCGCCAACAATTTCCTTGAGCAGTATCTGACAAATGCTGCTTTAATTACAGGTCAGACAACAGCGAGAGTGAAAAGTGAAAGGAGCCGAAACATATTTACGTCAAACAGCGCTCTATGATCGACGGCCATCCGTGCTCGTGTTATATGCAGCTAGGTTGATCATCTCAACGCTTCAACCACTCATACTTATTTTCCAACCAAGAAAAATAAGCAGCATGAATCTGGAGGATTCACGCCTAGTCCCCTCAAACCCGAAGCGGCTCTTGGCATAGTTTTGCTTGTGGTACGACGCCAATGCCATCTGCTCAGCCTTTCTTGTATTAATTTTTTTTTCTCTCCCCTTATCATTCTGAAGTGTGATCGAGTTAAGCCAAGCCAGTTGGTTCAGAAAGGACGAGAGATATAAAGCAGTTATCCACCCGTCTCTAGCAGTGAGATTCTAAGAGCTTCAATTGCACTCGATCTCCAACACCCCAATACTATAGCCCACAACCCCCATTTACCTATACCGTTCAATATGACTTTTGCAGAGTCCTTCCTTCAAGGCTTCTCTACCGTACACAACTCAATAGGGTACAAAAAAGGATACAACTTTATTCTTTGGTTTATATTTGCTGGAGCCCTCCTTGGATTCACTCTTGCTCGTTTCTCATTCCTGAACTTTGACGTCTTTGAGAGTGATTCTGTTCCTGGTCAATGGTACTTCACGCGCATGGGCCGTGATAAAGTTGGTCTCCTTCTTCATCTTGCCGCTGTGCTACCATGTGGAATTCTTGTCATCTTCCAATTTATTCCGATCATTCGACACAAGTGGATATTGTTCCACCGTATCAATGGCTACATCATCTTTATCCTGCTTTTGATTTCACACGCTGGCGCCCTTATGATTATGGAACACTCCTTTGGTGGTGGCGTGGATATCCAGTCTGCTGTGATTACACTTGTCATAGCCTGCACAGTTTCCTTCTGCCTCGCACTCTACAACATCCGCTGCAAACAACTCGAACAACATCGTGCCTGGATGTTACGCACTATGTTCTACATGGGCTGTATCATTACCATCCGAATCTGCCTCATCATCTCTGCGTCTATTCTTGGAGCCCTCCCGAATCTACGCCACGACGTGTGGTCATGCGATCAAGTCCGGTTCACTTTCTTAAATGGTGCTTCAGATGCACTTAATGCTTTGGAAAAGCTAGCAAAGCTCTTCCCGCAATGTTCCGCACCAAACTCTACAAACATCATGGTTCCAGTCCCTGCTTCACTTAACCTAAGCAACCCTGCTTCGGCTGGTGCAGCATTCAACCTCAGCTTTGGTACGGCTATCTGGATATCCTTTATGCTTCACGCACTTGGTGTTGAAATATATCTCCGTCTTACCCCTAAGGAAGCAGAGCGCCTTCGTCAGATCAGTTATGAGCGTCAGCTGGCTGCTGGTTTCAAGAATCCAGGCAGCGCAGGCCTGGTTGTTGAGAAATTGGGAGATGCGGATCCATGGAAAGGGCCCGTTTAGGACTATCCTCCTGCCTGCCGATTAAGTGTATTTCATTTGTTAAAGGTGTTGAAATGTCGTCTTTCCATCACTTTTAGAGCATTTTTGTTGATAAAATAGAGATACATGATTAACGATTTCACAATTCTATATGAAATGCGTATGCCCCGAGAGTGCAATATCACCAGTGATCCATCGACTATTACGTATAGTCATCATTCGATGCAAGATTGCCGAATGTGGAGAATCATACAAGAAACCAAGCCACAAGCCCTCGGCATATTCTGTCGTTGTAAACATCAGTAAATCAGGACAAAGCTCATCGTTATATATTATTACTATCGGGTTATTCCATATGTTGAACTATCTTAGCTAAGATTCGAAAATTAGGGGTTCCGACTCCAGTTACCGGGTCCCAACCTTCGGTGGCATTCCAGCTTGCATATGGCACCGCCGGAGTGCTCCTGTTAGTTGAACTATAACCAACGCACCCCTTCGATCCTCCGTGAACAATGTCTGTAAACCCTTCCCTACCCTTTCCGTATATGAAAGGATTTAAATAGCCCAGGACTGGCTTATTGGCGCGTAAACGGATGGCATTGAGATTGGCAATAATGGCGGCGAAGGCGGGAGCCGATGCACTGGAGAGGTTAGTAATTTGGATTCTTATAACACAACTAGTTACATTACACCCGAAAGTATTTCTGGAACTGAGGATGGACATCTAACCTTGTTCCAGAGACAATGATCACTTTTCCGTGGTCATAGATCGCAAAATTGGCCCCTTGGGCTGAGACATCGGGAATTCCACGCCCTTTAGGATTATAGAGCCCTTTCCACCGATCTCCAAGTTTATCCAAATAATGCTGAACAGCATCATTTTGGTATCCTGGACGAGAATGGCGATCTGAAAATCCACCGGATGAGAACCCAGTAGCTCGCTCAGGGTTGATTTTAAAAGTTGCGCCAACAGAAGTGACAAATGGACAGCTGGCTGGGAAAGTAGGATTGAAGCGGGTAATCTTCTTTTTATCATTTGTTAAGCAAGATGAGCCGACACCACTATCTCCGCTACTGAAAATAACCGAGACGCCTCGGGCCCCTAGTTGAGCAAATAGGTTGCAAGTTGCATGGGAAAATCTTTCAGGTACGCTCTGTTCATTTTCTCCGTAGGATGTTGAGAGGACTGCAGGAAGTGCTTCCTGAGGTAAACTTAGAAGGTAATGCAATTGATCCAAGTATGGTTCGTTTGAATTATGTTCTTGTTCAGGTTGATCAAGATCCGGAACAAGGGGGCCTCTACCACTAGTTGTATAAAACACTGCTGATGCATTCGATAGACCAAGAGCATACTCAATGTCTAGGCTTGCTTCAATGCTGTTTCTGGTGGAGTTTTGTAGATTTTGGCCGTTTCCAATGTGTGCCACAGAAAAGTTAGCACCTTTCATTTCAGGTGCATAGAGCTCAAGGAATTTGTAAAAGTCGCTATATCGGGCGTATTGGTCCAGATAGCCTGAGACCCCAATGACATTTCTGCAGTCCGGCTTGGCTACGTAGTCTCCCATTTTGTAAAGCTCTCGTAAACATCTTGGAGTTATCGTAGCATTGCAATTTTCGGTTGCATTAGTAGACAAATAGATGGCTTGTAGGTTAGCGATCGAGTTGGCGTGTTTCTTTGGTTTCCCGAACTTCGTAGTCGGTTGTATCATATAAACATGGCGCGCCAGACGAGATGGGACAGAGTATTTTAAAGTCCTGATCATGGAGATTCCTGGGTCTTGTACGTCATGAAAGTGATAAAACCGGGTTTGAAGCATCCTTTCAGCTTGGGAAATTGAAATGACAAAATGTATCCAGTCTCCATCGTCCACAATTGACCGTTTAGGGACGCAGATTTTTCAAGCCAGGATAATATTAAGTTCGAAGTCTCCCGGCGTGGGCGGAGAAGACCTTTCAGATCCCTCCTGGACAAGTGCTTGCCATAGTTTCGATGACCTGGAGTTGAAATGTCGAGAACTATTTGCTCAAATGTACGAGTGTTCTGTTGGCCCACAGCCAAGTTCATGCGAACGGAGGTTTCGGGGGATGGGGGATTCCCCTGAACCCATCCTTCAGGAATAGCAGGAAGATCTTCAACAACAGTGCGATATGTATTTGGAAAGGCTACAGTCATAGCAAGAAAGAGAGGTATAACACTGTGCCATCGTAGTAGCATCTTTAAAAAAAAAAATATGGCTGATGTTCACGCTCCAGATGCACTCGCGGAGCAATATTCGATCTCAGTACCCACGATATAAAGCAGCAGAGATAGGTACTCCAAAAGCAAGGACTGGAAGCGGCAGCTCTTTTATAAGGATGTAAGTGAGGGGCCTGCTTCCTTGTGACAGGCTATGCAGTTCTGTCTATTGTATTCACTGTGAATATTAGGTCGTATCTGTGGCACTGAGGAGAATAAGAGAGCTTACAGTATATAAAACCCCGCTTCACCTGTACCATAGTCAGCCAAGCAAAGAGAAACCACAATTCATAGCCCACAGCCCTTATATCCAAATAAGTATTCCACATAATTTTATGAAGCGCAACTGTTTAACACATACGTTTTCCAGTTCTCGTGGAGGTATATACATACCAAGAAGCCTTGGAGTCTTGAGGAGTACGACATAATGAAAGTCTAGAAACATGGGTAGTTAGTATAAGGCTATCATTTCCAATAACTTGTGAGATCGAGCAGAGTACTAACCTTCCACTATCCATTAATGCACCGCTGGTCTTGGAGATAATCGACAGACAAGCGTGAATGTCAACTAACTAATTCCTACAAATTAAGGGGTTTCAAGTTTCAAAATCTGCAGACCAACTGCTGTATAGGGAGGAATTAATTGTGGCTGTCGGACTCACACTTGAAACCATTCTATTTGCAGGCTGGAGGAATTCCTTTCCTTGACCTTGAAATAAAAATAAAACTATAACTAATTTAAGGTTTAACATTAACTAAGAGAGACTCACTAACTCATAGTTAGTTAGTTAACCTTAAACCAACAAAACTTAACGCACTTTGAACCAAGCGAAAGAGTGCTGATTAATTAAATCACGTGATACCCCGTCGTTCATAGCTATATGAAACTCTAATTGTTTCTCTCTGTGGATAGTGGAAATCCTTCAAGTATGGAAGCAGAAAGCACCCATGGATGGTAAACGACCACCGAATCCTACGGCCCAATCGTATATTCGAGCTTATTACCCCAGCCATGAAGGCAGCGAACAATATTATCAGCCCAATAGTCTCCTGCCGCTAGGCACATGATTAATGCTATATATACCAGCCTGCCCCCGTATCCATTTCCCACTTTTCCTGTCTGGCAGTCAAAAAATTAGAATAACCCCTACCCAGCGTTCAAGTTGCTGCATTTTGCGGTTGCAATGGCTCCTAACACCATATATATCATCACTGGTGCCAGTAGAGGCATTGGCCTGGGTCTCGCGCTAGCATATATTGCCCGTCCCTCCACCACTGTCATCGGCATCGTTCGTAACGAATCTAGTGCTTCTGCCCTTCTGGAAGCTATGAACCAGTCTCCCAGGGGAAAGAATAGCGTTCTTCGGATTGCTCAACTTGATTTCTCTATGAGACTCACGCCACAGATCATTCGCGAACGTATCAATATTGCCGCGGGCGATTTAAACCACGTCAACACTGTGATATGCGCTGCTGGCCATGTCACTGCTATAATGCCGACTGTTGAAATGGCCGCCGAGCATCTGCGGGAGTGCTTTGAGATTAACACCATTGGGCCCCTGATGGTTCTCCAAGCAGTCCGAGACCTACTGGAGAAGGGAAATGGCGCAACAGGGCTACCGTCAAAGTTCATCGTTCTCTCCTCATCTGTCGGATCCATTGGGCAAATGGAGCCTTTCCCTGGTGGCGCATATGGCCCGAGCAAAGCTGCAGTCAACTATATTGCGAAGTCAGTTCATCTCCAGATGGCCCAGAGCGGAATTGTTAGCGTAGCGCTTCACCCGGGATGGGTACAGACGAAGATGGGCGACTTTATGGCGAAGGCATGGAACTATGCTGGCGGGCCCCCTGACACTCTGGAAGAAAGTGTTAAAGGCATTATTACAGTCATTGATGAGGCCACCCGTGTTAAATATTCTGGGAAGTTTGTAACTCAGGCTGGAGTGGAGATTCCGTGGTAGTTAACAGGTGGAGGCTAGATTTGATAACCCCTTGCCGTAATATGTATGGCCAAAGATGGTACATGAACTCGCCAGAGCCTTTCCCCTTGGGTATGGAGATATGTATTACCAATAAGTCTTTAAACTGTTCGAGGAAAGAGATGCTGCTAAGTGGTTAACTAATTCGTTGACCTAACCAGTTAACTATTCATTCTCGAACGCCAGAAACAGATATTTGACTTTTGAGAGTAAAATACCACCACAAGCTACCATTACACCAAAGGCCTTGAATAGTAAATGGACCATCCGCTTAAACTCGTCGTTGGTTGTAACTATGCAGTGCCCTGACATTGCTTCGCTGTAACGTAATATGCAACGTGCGTAAAATCTTGTCAACCAACTAACAGGAGACTGAAAGGCCATACATTTAACTAATAATAATTGTATGTATCCGTATGTAGCACCAGCTAGTTATATGCAGGTTCCATATATTAATAACTCTAAAGCCCACAACATATCGGTGATACATGAGGCCAGTGTGGGGTAGCAAGCCGTTGTGTACTGTGATATTTCCTTGGCTAGGAAGGTTATGAAAATGGTGAAAATTCTCGTGAGCTTACGAGACAGGATATATAGCGTAGTGCATGGGAGTACAACATGATAATAATACGTCAAAGGGGAAGTAACAGGTTCTATTTCAAATAATTACCGTATGTAGGATATTCCCTTCCTCAGATGGTGGGATCTCAGTAGATGGAAAATGTGCAGCACATTAGAGACAGGATATAAAGTAAATGTATATGGCATTTATGGAAAAGCTAGTGGACCTACTTTGCTCTGAGAGTTTGATGCTATTTAACACCTGTAATAAAAGTGAGTTTACTCAAAACGCCAGTAGGGCAATAGTGACAGAAGGCAGCAAGCTAGAAATGAGGAAGATATGTTACACCATCAAGAGCGGACATACTGCTAATTCTGATAGAAGTTAGATCACGTAGGTCTTAGTCTAACTTGATCGTGCGCAGCGATGTTACTTTGTATGTTAGGATAGGGATACTAGTACTGTGAAAAAATCCATCCTGGGCCCCCTCTGGGGGAGACTCAAAGGCGACCTGGCTTGCTAGTAGGTTAGATGCCGCTGAAAGCAAGAGACAAACACAGTTAGCAGATGTAACCAACCGCGCATAAACGCGAAGGTGACAAAAGGTCAATTCGTACCGCAGGCGCTGAGGAACGCGTTGAGAGTTTCCTGGTTACGAAGTGTGGCTGAAATGATGAACTCCTTGAGATAATAGTTATCAAACAAGTCCTGCAGGGTCGATAAAAAAAGTGGTATCAAGTCCAAGTCATAGAGCTAGGGTTCGACATGTGGACAGCAATGGGAGCCATGCCCACGTCATGGATATTAGTGATCTATTCAAAATCTCTTTATAAAAGTGCATGGTTCAACTATGCATACCAGGTCAGCCCCTAATGCGGTGTCAATGCTGACGCGTTGTCCATTGTCCTGCACGTTATCAGGGCATTCCAGTGGAGTACCCCATTCCCAGATAGAAGCAGTGATCTTCTTCGAGGTTAATTTGTTCCAAGAAATGCACTCTTGAATATTCGCAATCAATGCTGGATCCCGATCTGTCGCTATTACTCTGCTAGCGCCAAGGCTCTTTGAGCAGTACATAGATACAAGCCCTGTTCCCGCTCCTAATTCAAGAACGTTTTTTCCACTGATAAACTCTTTGCCAGTTTGAGTGGAAAGAAATGTTCCGAGATGCAAGGCGGCTTCCCAGGTCCGAAAACCAGTAGTTCCAGCAGCAAGGATCAACCCTCGATTTTCTAGCGTAATAACGCTCTCGTCGTGTTTGGAATCCAGTACCACAGGCGGTGTGTACTTGATGTAGGACAACTGTTGGGTTTGTTCAAGCGGTGACAGCTTAGGGCGAGAAATGAGAATACCCCAACTTGTCATGAGATCGTCTAGGATCTCCTATGAGTAAAAAAGGAGAAGAAAAATTTCACCGGTCAGGGTCTGAGGCAGCAAACAGTTAAGAATGCATAACTGAAGGAAGATAACGGGGATTCATGGGAAAGATATGTAATTCTGTCGACGTATCATGAAGGGGAATATGGGTGGGAAGAAAGGGGGGTTGCGGACTTCGTACATCCTCCTCAGGGTCAGTGAAAGACTCCTCAATTGTCGACAAGATCATTTTAAGAACTCGAGTACGGTAGTTCAACGGCGGCAGAGGCCATACCGTGTCTTCACAGAACATATTCCGGTTGATCCATTGTTGCACCGGTAGCTTTAGCAGTACGTTGCCTGGTGGAAAACGCAGGCTCTGCACTTCGACTGCCTGGAAATACTGCGCAGCGAGTAATCTGAGGCCTGATGCTTCATCGGGGGACATCGATTCCATGGCTAAGGCTGCCTTGCTCCACTCCAATCTATCTCATCGTCTCGTACGGAGTAGTTGTCGACCAAACGTCTCTGGTCGCGAATTCTCGTGTCGTTCATGGAGCTTTAGTTACGGTGGTTGGTTGCAACGCTTACCTAAGCCAATCTAACCGTGTCCGGTTGGCCCTAACCGAAAGCCCACACCAACGCAAGGACGTAAAAAAAAATCGAAATTAAATCGTCAAAAGTTCGACGACAGCGACAAAACATTCGACCGCAGCAATCGACAACGCCTCCCATCGACCAACGCTGCACGGATCTTCTTCGCTCTGAAGATTCTGTTTAACGTCCATCGGAGGCCTTCTCGCATCACGCTCCGACATCATGGCTGACGCTCCCGTTACCCTGCGGACTCGCAAGTTCATCCGCAACCCGCTCTTGGGCAGAAAGCAGATGGTTGTGTAAGTGACTGCTTTCTATGTTTTCACGCCCACGCTCCCGGCATAGTCAATATAGCCCGCTCGAGGTTATGAGGAAGATTTCAGGAGAGAAGAAAACAGAGGAAATATAGTAGGAAGGCGCAGATACATTCGAAAATGAATAGGCGGCGGGGTCTCGAAGCGTCGACCAATTTTGCGCATCTGAGGTTTGCATTATAGCATACAGTCAGCTAACAAGGGCGTTATTTTTGGGAAATAGTGACATCCTTCATCCTAACCGCGCAAACATCTCTAAGGATGACCTGCGGACGAAACTTGGAGAACTCTACAAGGCCAACAAGGACCAAATATCAGTATTTGGCCTCCGCACCCACTATGGTGGTGGAAAGACCACCGGCTTCGCCCTTATTTATGACTCCACTGAGGCCTTGAAGAAATTCGAGCCCCGTTACAGACTCGTCCGCTATGGCACTGTCGACAAGATTGAGCGACCAAGCAGAAAACAACGTATGTTCCCCTACCGCAAGAAGTTTAGTAGAAGGCAGCGATCTTTTTCTGCCATACGGGGGGTTTATGGCTGACACACCCTTTTTCTCCATATAGGCAAGAGCAGCAAGATCAGAGCTAAGAAGCTCCGAGGCACGGCTAAGGTTAAGGGTGTCAAGAAGGCCAAGAAATAAGCAGCTCGCGGGCAGTTGCTGGTTTGGCGGTTGGATTGGAGTCTTGCACCTTGAAATTTGCCTTGATGAACAGCGCTTCTCAAAAGTTGTTCGGCATTCATGTCCCAAGACAATCAATGGTGTATGCTAGCTACGAATCGAAACCAACGGGTGGGCTTACTTAGGCGGCGTCACCAGATGGATAATTAAATTCCAAAATGTTTCCATTTATGTTCCTTTGAAATTAATCCTTGCCCCTCCCCCCGTCTAGATGTGAAATACAAGAAAACCCGATAGTTCATTCCAGCTTAAGACCGGTGGCCCATTATCTTGTTACTGGAGACATGGAGACGTTTATACCGTTAAGCTCAACTGATATGAAATTACTCGAAATAAATGCAGAGATATAAATCAAATGAAATCGGGAGAAAAGTACGCCTTACCCGTTACGAGCACTTCCAACCCCATTCAAGACCCGGAAAAAGAGGTTCCAACATATGACGAGTCCCAGGACAAGTGAAACTCTTCCATAGCGTCGCAAAGAACGTCATGAGAATAATAAGGGTAAAATGAGAAAGCATTGTTGTAAATAGGAGAGCAATATTTTGGCTGCAAAAGGCTGAGGTGATAGAAAAGGTTTAAAAAAAAAAAAAATCAATCAGACCCAGGGTCGCCTCAAGAGGTATTCTCATAGCGATTCCTACCCCGGACACTGCGCTGTAATAGGCATTTGTTCTTTGTCTGTACCTCACAAGTAACAAAGAATTAAGGGTATGGGTATTTAGAGAAAGTACACATCGGGGGCTTGAGTACCCAAGTTATACGGACATGAAGAAGGGACGGTGGAGCGACACAGCGCTATGTATATGGAGTACATGTAGTCATGAGAAAGGAGATGCGGCCAAGTACTACCGTAAAGATTGCTACGAATTTAATAGCAGCTCGAGGCACCCGTTGTCAATTGAGGAGAAACAGCGGTTTTCTCCACTGAGTACATGTTCCCTGCAGACGTTGTGTATTGTGGTCGTTCGTACACCTCACCGCTCACCAGCATGCCCCCTGGTGGCCTCATCGAACCCAGTCGGTGGCTCCTGTTTGTGGAATGGACATATTCTGACACGCATGTATCTGTGGAGCTTTTGAGTCTGGTCATCTTGTTATTGACGTGCGGCTCATCTGAGCCCTGTTGAACATCAACAGAAGTATCAACAGCTTCATTGACCAGAAAAGGGGCAGAAGTAACGCAGGCTTGAAGGGCGCTGGAAAGTGGAATATATCCAAACCCGCAATCAATAGGGCTTGGGGACAGTTTGACATTCACCGAGAGAGCTGCAGAAGTATCACTGCTCGTAATGGGCCGTGTAATATCGCTGTCAGCTGCCAGTTGGTAGGCTTGTTTGTATGTAGCGGTAATGCTAGAACACACAGTCGGGCTAGTCGAACTGGTACTTTCCATGATAGCCGCAAGGGTATTGTTTCGACCAGTTGCCGGGTTAGGCAAGGTTCTATCTTGCCCCGAAGACAGTGAGCTCATGACGGGAAAGAGCGTGACGGTTTCACTGGACGTACATTTTTGAGATGGGCGTCCGAGAAAGGGAAAACTCGGCGATAGCGAACCGCTTCCGTCATGATCGGGGTACGTCCCTGCATTTGTAGGATCCAGTGTCGTTGGCAATCGCCAGTTCCTCGCTGGAGGAGAAGTACCACAAACAGCACTTACTCCTCCTGCCCCAGTAGAGCTTGGAAGAACGTAGGAGGAAAAGGGAAGATGATACACTCCTTCCTCTCCGTATCCAAAGGGATAATTTGGAGAGTAATAGGAGGTTCTGTTAGCCAGAGCGTGCTGCTCCGAAGTAGTTCCGTATTCGAGCCCTGGCTGCACCGCTGAGTAGGCTGGTAATCCAGCGGAACCGCCGTGGATGGATAGAGAGTTTGCTCTTAGAATGTGAGTATCATAAGCTGCCTGTTGCTGACCGCAGTTACCTGGGGAGCTCGAAGAATTTGAAAATGGATACGCCCACGAAGAATAGCTCGCCTTTGTCTGAAGTGGGGAAGAATTGACCTGCGTTGAAGTTAAAATCAGGCTCATGGTAAGGGAGGTGACATGGCATTTCACTTAAATGGGGTAAACCAACCCGTAAAAACAGACATCCTGTTGTTCCGGAGCTCTTGCAATTCGAACACGCTTCACCATTGCCAAGGTCACCGCTGCATTTTATTTTCCTCCTACGACATCTTGCGCACTATAGGCGCCCACCGCCAGTCAGTAGGTATATGTATATAGTAAAGTCCAAAAGTATCATACCGCAACTTGGGTGCGGCGCCGTTGGTTAGGCCCGTTGGTTTTGCTTTCACAGTCCACGCCTGACCGATTTTGGACAAAGTTGCCGTCAGAAGCACCTTCGCTTTTCTCTCGCTTAGGATGCGTAGCTGGGCTTGCAATCGGGTGTGTTCGCCGCAAAATTTTTGTCTCCCCCTGACTCTTGTAACAAGTGCGGTCCATGGCCTGCAACATCTAGAGTTATCAGTGCTGTTTGTAAAGGTGTTGCTTGTATAAATCAGAAAGAGCTCGGCGTGTGTAACATATCACTTAGGGCCTCCAAAGTAGTTCTAAAGTCAGGAGTAGAAGAGTGAAAGAATCAGGAGTTGTGGCAGTAACAAGATAGAATTGAGTTTTGAGGTTGGGATATAGTTCTTCGGAGACCATTTGTAAATCCGGGAACTTCTGGGAGGGAGAGTGTTTTAAACCCAAGGCAACACCCCGTGTTCTTCAGAGAGTTCTGGTGATGTACTTCATCACACCCTTGTTCCAGAACATGTTGATGGAGAGTAAAAGTGTTGGCTTACCGAAGTTTGCCTAGCGCCCCAGAAATTGTTTTGAAACTTTGTAGTTCAACTAGAGATTGGAGGTTGTATATCGGTTTGATAGTGGCTGGCTCCTTTATTATGTTCCACCAGAGCACTGTAAGTCCCCGGTTGTACTATGCCGCAGGGTCTCAGTGGGTATAAAGTAACATGTGTGCAAGAATCCGCTAAGAACTTGACGATTGAAAATAAATAATAATAACAACAGTAAGAACTGTAATATTAAAAATAAAAGTAAAAAAAATCCCCAAAAATAAGAATAAGGATAAAAATAAAAAATAATCGAAGAAAATTTATAAAATAACATAAAATAGCGGATATGTAAGGTGGTGTGGTGTGAGTTAGTGTCACAGGAACATGTCACACGTTGTCAAATTACCCTCTTGGTACCAGACGAATAACTGGCGTTGTATAGAGCAGAATGGGGGCAATGGTCTTGATAAGGGAAAGAAATATGAATATGGAGCGAGTCCATGAACTTCGCTCAGGGCCATGCCATCTTATGTACCTCCCTACTTACAGTAGGCAGGAACACTAGGTGGTTCATCTTCTCTTGCCTTGACAGTTGAAAGACAAACAAATAAGAAAAAGAATACATAAACGCTTCTTTCTTCGACTGGAGTGAGCGATGTGGGTTGAGCAAGTAACCGGCCAGAGCGTTTGTCATCGAGAGATATATGTACGGGGCCTCCTGAGAAACAATGATGAATGTCGCTGATAGTTTGGGTGAGGCATGTTTGCTAACTTGCGTCGCGGCTGTTATTATTGGCTGGATGCAAGGGGCAGCGCGGCGTCAAGATTTGTAGGAGAAGCAAACATCCTTGGACTTTGGCGTGGAGTAGAAAAAGTGCTCTCTGGGTGACCTGGGGATGGAAGCGTGGCGTTTATGATTTCTGTTCGATTGTTGTTTCATCCCAACTAACGTTATCATCGCCCAATTGGATCACTCCCTCTTAAGAATCCTGCATGAACAAACTGGCCTCGTATATGGATATAACTAGCCTTGCAAACTAGCCGTTTCGAGAACATGACGCCCATTGGTATTTTTTTTTTTTTTTTTTTTTTTTTTAAGCGTACTCCGTATGAGGCAGACAATTTGTCGCAGAGCCGTTTACAGGGTCCAACCAACTGATATTTTCAACTAAGATCGAATGGTCCAGAGAACGATTCCCACATATGGCGGAAAAGTATACGCCCTGTTCGGAACCCAATTCCAGAAAGTTGCACAGGGAAACTTAAGGGATCTAGCTTCAACATAGGATTCTAGAAGGGAGAGTGCTTTGTGAGTAGGCGTGTAAGCCCACAAGCAATCCAACACACCGATAGAATCAACAATATTGTGTTGCTTGGTCTGCATGGAGGCACGAAAGAAGCGGATATAATCCCAACCCTTTCTGATGGGGGGGCCTGCGCCCGAATTATTATTGCGCGAGAAGTGGATTTATTCAAGGCGAACACTGCATTGAAGAGTCACCCACCCCCTGTACAGGGGATGCTCTCATCCGCAGAAAAATGCTGTTCATCAGTCACAATTTCAATCTTCTGGAAAGCCGTAGAAAAATGTGTCTAAGGGCCATGGTCAAGCTAGACGAACTCCATGTTACTTGCATCAACGCCAACGGAACAAAGCATAAGTAGGATGTATAACCACCCCACACCATCTTGCATCCTGCATGGTGCGCATGAGACCCGATACTATCTGCTGCCGTGACGAATCTCATCCCCGTATATGTATATCACAGGAGAAACACACATGCAAGTCATGTAGGTTGTCCAACCCCGGGCGGAGAGATTATTTGGCAGCCATTCCACCGCATGGTGATCAACACTCAAGACACCAAGGCTCCACAGAATATCCCATGCTAGAATGCTCAAGACAAAGCAAGGCACGGGGGATGTTGCCATACCAACAAGAGGCCAGGGAGGGCTCCAACGCGGCAGCTCGCTGGAAGAGCTGTTGAAGGTTCAACTGAGCGGTCCTTCTCCCAGAGGAGTCTATCGAAGGAGTCAAAAGGACTGTTGTCAGCGCCCCTGCGGAGTCCAGCGAGCTCTGCTTCGTGGCTTGCAAAGAAGGTATGAAGTAACTAGCGCGGTCTGGCTGGGGGGGGGGGAGGAGCGCCGTTGTCATCAAGACCACGTTAAGCAGCCAAACAGGTCCTCCCCCCGTCGCCATCGTCGCTGCTCTCTGGGAGGCAACATTTGACATTTGCTTCTCGCCTGGGCGATCGATATCTCTGTGTGTCCCGCCTGTCCGCCTGTCCGCCTGTCTGTCCGCCTGTCTGGCTGGCTGCTCTGGCTGTCTGTGTGTACGCGGGATGCATGAAGTCAAGAACTTCCCTTTTGGAGCAATGGAGAACGAGAGGCGCTTATCTAATATGCACGGCGTTACAAGTAAATCCGAAAGATGGCCCGGGGCGGGGCCTTGATGGGTTATGTAATCACCAGGAGCAGCCTCTTCGGTCCTAGCTCTCTTTCTTCCAGGGCTCACGCGGCAGACCAGCAGCTGCAACACCAGCAAAGGGACACTGGCAGAGTGACAAACACGACGATCCAGACCATGAGCGTTCTTCTCGAAACCTCTCTGGGAGACATTGTTATTGACTTGCTGACCGAGTCTTCTCCCCGGGCATGCGAGAAGTAAGTTTGCGCTCCCTTAAGTGAATGCTTCTTCAGAGATATCAAACAGCTGAGATGGGAAACTAAGAGCTCGAGGTTAGCTTCTTGAAGCTATGCAAAGTCAAGTACTACAATTTCTCGCCTGTCCACAGCGTGCAGAAGGGGTTTTCATTCCAAACGGGCGATCCACTCGGCCCCGATTCTCCAGAGAGCGATGGTGGAAGTTCGATATGGGGGGTTATTAACGGGCCATCACAGAAAAACTTCACTCTGCGTTTTCCGCCGAAATTAAAGCATTCTGAGCTTGGGACAGTGAGCATGGCGACCGTCCCATCGGCAAAAGATGCGGATGAACGGCTCGCTGGGAGCCAGTTTATCATAACACTCGGAGACAATCTTGACTACTTGAACGACAAGGCAGTGATATTCGGAAAGGTAGTTGAGGGATTCGACGTCCTCGAGAAGATCAACACCGCATTCATTGATGATAAGGGGAGACCGCTGAAGGATATCCGTATTCGACATACCGTTGTCTTGGACGACCCTTACGACGACCCTCCTGGCTTGCAGGAACCGCCGGAGAGCCCCCTCCCTACCAAAGCCCAACTAGCTACTGTCATGATTGCAGACGATGAAGATCTAGACCAGGAGGTAGACGAAGAAGCACTGGAAAGGATACGTCGAGAACGTGAGGCCCAGGCACAAGCTTTGACGCTTGAAATGGTTGGAGACCTTCCGTTTGCCGAAGTGAAACCACCCGAGAACGTCTTGTTTGTTTGCAAACTTAACCCGGTCACACAAGGTAAATTCTACATACATCTGAACGAGACCTCCCCCTTCCTTTTTACTAGCCATGGGATCATTCGACTAACTTTCGTACTAATTAGACGAAGATTTAAATCTAATATTTAGCCGATTTGGCAGGATATTGTCATGCGAAGTGATACGAGATAAAAAGACAGGAGACAGTCTACAGTACGCTTTCATCGAGTTCGAAGACCAAAAAGACTGCGAACAAGCCTATTTCAAGATGCAGGGTGTGTTGATTGACGACCATCGTATTCACGTGGACTTTTCGCAGAGCGTGTCGAAGCTATCAGACTCGTGGAGAACAGCAACGAACGCCAGACGATCTAGCCAAAGGGGCGGGTTTGGGGGCATTTCTAACCTCGAGAAACGGCGCCAGTACCGCGCAGCAGAAGCAGGAGATCGTCGAAGCAAGTATGGAATGGTTTTTGACAAGGATGACATACAGGGCAAGGAGTCTTCTCGTCCCTCAAAGTCTCGCCGGAGAGATTGGTCCCGGAGTTGCAGCCGGAGTCGAAGCCCTCCAAGTCATTCACATCGCGACAGATCCCCCAGACGGCGTGATGGGTATGACAGGGGGCCACGGCGGGACAGGGAAAGGTACAGGAGCCCTCGCCCAAGGCATGATGAACGAGACTATGGCCGTCCACAGAGACGGCGGTGAATGCGTCTAAATTCGCTCTACTATTTACACGGTGGACGAGGATTGTGCCTAGCCTCCTGCACTTGCTCTCGCGCCATGAACTAACTCCGCTGCCCAACGTGTCAGTCCACCCCCCGCACCCCGTATGTAGGCCCTCT